CCTGTCCCTTTGTGGTGAGTCCCCATCACCTCGTGGTGGATCCCCATCACCTTGTGGTGGTCCCCCATCTCCTTGTGGTGGTTCCCATCACTTCGTGGTGGCCCCTGTTGCTTTATGGTGGGTCCCCGTGGCTGTATGGTGGGTCCCTGTCACTTTGTGGTGAGTCCCCACTACCTCATGGTGGATCCCCATCACCTTGCGGTGGTTTCCATCACTTCGTGGTGGCCCCTGTTGCTTTATGGTGGGTCCCCGTGGCTGTATGGTGGGTCCCTGTCACTTTGTGGTGAGTCCCCACTACCTCATGGTGGATCCCCATCACCTTGCGGTGGTTTCCATCACTTCGTGGTGGCCCCTGTTGCTTTATGGTGGGTCCCCGTGGCTTTATGGTGGGTCCCCGGCACTTTGTGGTGAGTCCCCCTCACCTCATGCTGGATCCCCATGGCCTGTGGGTGGTCCCCCATCTCCTTGTGGTGGTTCCCATCACTTCGTGGTGGCTCCCATTGCCTCAGGGTGGTTCCCTGTCTCCTCGTGGTGGTCCCCTATTGCTTCGTGGTGGCTTCCCATCTCCTCCTGGTGATTACCATTGCCTTGGGATGGTCCCCTGTCTACTCCTGGTGGTCCCCGATCTCCTTGTGGTGGTTCCCATTTCCTCCTGGTGGTTCCCATTGCCTCGAGGTGGTCCCCTGTCTCCTCCTGGTGGTCCTCATCCCCTTGTGATGGTCCCCATCACCTCATGTGATGCCGTTCTTCCCTCTAGGACCCTTCTCTCCTCAACAACCGTGTCTTGCTCCATCACGCCAAAGCTGGGACGGTTATTGCCCGTCAAGGAGACCAGGTGGGTCTTGGTTTTGGGGAGCTGGTGTGGCGTCTTGCTTCCCCCACCCTATATTTCCATGGGGTGCTACTCCTCTTACTCCTGCCCTATGGGTGGTGGTGGGGGCAGGAATGATCCCCAGAGCCATCTGGAAGGTGCAAAACAACAGAGTTTCTTCCGGTCCCAAGTGGCGCTGGTGGGACCCCTCACACCTGGGGGTCCCAGGTGGCCCCCGGCAGTGACAAGGTGCCATTTTGGCAGGACGTGAGCCTCCACTTCGTGCTGTGGGGCTGTCTGCACGTGTACCAGCGCATGATCGACAAGGCGGAGGACGTCTGCCTCTTCTTGACGCAACCCGGTGAGATGGTGGGACAGCTGGCGGTCCTCACCGGCGAGCCCCTCATCTTCACCATCAAAGCCAACCGCGACTGCACTTTCCTCAAAATCTCCAAGTCGGACTTCTACGAGTGAGTCCCGGCACCGGCGGAGGAGGTTTGGGGCAAAGAGTTGGTGCCAAAGGGGACTCCTGGGCTGAGCGCTATGGTGGCATCTCTTGGGGCTACCGCCGTGTCCCCCAACTGCTCTTGACCCATAGGATCATGCGGGAGCAACCCAGCGTGGTGCTGAGCGTCGCCCACACCGTGGCCGCCCGCATGTCGCCCTTCGTGCGCCAGATGGACTTTGCCATCGACTGGATGGCGGTGGAGGCCGGCCGGGCGCTCTACAGGTGGGTACCAACGCATGGGTGCCCACCTCAGCTTGGTGAGGACCAGCTTGACAAGGGGGCTGACTTCCCACCGGTGGTGTCCCCCCAGGCAGGGTGACAAGTCGGACTGTACCTACATCGCGCTCAACGGGCGCCTCCGCTCCGTCATCCAGAAGGGCAGCGGCAAGAAGGAGCTCATCGGGGAGTATGGCCGCGGAGACCTCATCGGCGTGGTAAGAGCCGTGTTGGGGGCAAGGGGGGAGGACACTCTATAGGTCTGACCGATAAATCTTGGCTCTATGTCTTCTTCTCCAGGTGGAAGCCCTCACCCGGCAACCCCGTGCCACCACGGTCCACGCGGTCCGGGACACGGAGCTGGCCAAGCTGCCTGAGGGCACCTTGAACAACATCAAGCGCAGATACCCCCAGGTACCCCCCAGATCCCCATCCTGGGGTCTGCACCCTCGTCCCATGGAAGGAACGTGTCCCCGTGTCCTCCTCAGCCAGTGGCTGTGACACTCATTAAAACCAATTTAAATTAAGGACTTAAAGATGTAATTAGAGCTTCTGGGGGAGAAGAGCTGATGGGCCAAAGGGTTGTTCCTCTCTGAAGTCCCCAAGGATGGGGGGTGGCGATGGTGGTGACACCAAAAAAGACACGTGGGACACCGGTCAAGGGTGTTAATGAGTCTCCAGCTTGGGAAGCCTTGCCCGGTCTGATGGCCATCCCCGTCCTCGTCCCTGCAGGTTGTCACCCGCCTCATCCACCTCCTGAGCCAGAAGATCTTGGGAAACCTTCAGCAGCTCCGCGGACCCTTTGCGAGTAGGTCCCAAAGGGATCGGGGACGATGGCGTGCCCTCTACAGGGCTGGTGGCCATCATCAGAGCAGCTCATGGAAAGTGTCCACCACCTCGTTGCCTCTGTCTGGGCAGGTTCTGGCTTGGGCATGGCCTCCAGTTCGGAGCCCACCAACCCCACCAGTAACCTGTCGACGGTGGCGGTGCTGCCGGTGTGCGACGATGTGCCCACGGCTGCCTTTACGCTGGAACTCAAACACGCGCTCAACGCCATCGGTGAGTGCCGGCAGAGCGGTGGCCGTGGCATAGAGGTGACCACGGTTCTGTGGCGCACCACCAACACCACGGTTGTGGTTCCGTGGTGACCACAGGCACAGCGGTGGCCACGGCGTGGAGGCAGACATGGTCCTGTGGTGTGATGGGCACCATGGCACGGTGACCATGACAGCCCTATGGCGTGGCAGTCACCGTGGCATGGTGGTGACCACAGTCTCATGGCATGGTAGCAACTATGGCATGGTGATGACCAGAGCCCCGTGGTGCGGTGGTGACCCCAGTCCCATGGCGTGGTAGCAACCACAGCATGGTGACCACAGTCACATGGTATGGTGGCAACCATGGTATGGTGATGACTGCAGTCCCATGGCATGGTGGTGACCACAGCCCCATGGCATGGTAGCAACCACAGTATTGTAGCAACCACAGCCCAGTGACCACCGCCCCATGGCATGGTGATGACCACCGCCCCATGGCATGGTGGTGACCGCAGTCTCATGGCATGGTAGCAACCATGGCATGGTGACCACAGCCCCATGGCATGGTGGCAACCATGGCATGGTGATGACCCCCGCCCCATGGCATGGTGATGACCCCCGCCCCATGGCATGGTGATGACCCCCGCCCCATGGCATGGTGATGACCCCCGCCCCATGGCATGGTGATGACCCCCGCCCCATGGCATGGTGATGACCCCCGCCCCATGGCATGGTGATGACCCCCGCCCCATGGCATGGTGATGACCCCCGCCCCATGGCATGGTGATGACCCCCGCCCCATGGCATGGTGATGACCCCCGCCCCATGGCATGGTGATGACCCCCGCCCCATGGCATGGTGATGACCCCCGCCCCATGGCATGGTGATGACCCCCGCCCCATGGCATGGTGATGACCCCCGCCCCATGGCATGGTGATGACCCCCGCCCCATGGCATGGTGATGACCCCCGCCCCATGGCATGGTGATGACCCCCGCCCCATGGCATGGTGATGACCCCCGCCCCATGGCATGGTGATGACCCCCGCCCCATGGCATGGTGGTGACCGCAGTCTCATGGCATGGTAGCAACCACAGTATGGTAGCCACCACAGCCCGGTGACCACGGCCTCATGGCATGGTGATGACCACAGCCCCATGGCATTGTGGCGACCATGTCCCCACCTCTCCCAGGTCCCACGCTGCTCCTCACCAGCGACATCATCCGTGCCCGTCTCGGTTCCTCGGCGCTGGACAGGTAACTCCCGTCAGGAGGAACATCACCGGCGCCCTACCACCGTGCCGCTGGCTGACCCCTTCATCTCGGCAGCATCCAGGAGTACCGCCTCTCAGGCTGGCTGGCGCAGCAGGAGGACATCTACCGCATCGTCCTGTACCAAACCGACTGTACCCTGACGCCGTGGACCGTCCGCTGCATCCGTCAAGCCGACTGCATCCTCATCGTAGGGTTGGGCGACCAAGAACCGGCACTGGGAGAGGTGAGGTGGGGGGGTAGGCGGCGGTGGGACAACACCGCGTGGGGTGACTGATGGCTTCTACAGCTGGAACAGATGCTGGAGAACACGGCGGTGCGTGCGTTGAAGCAGTTGGTCCTCCTGCACCGCGAAGATGGTCCCAGCCCTTCCCGCACCGTTGAGTGGCTCAACATGCGCAGTTGGTGCTCGGGTCACCTCCATATCAGGTGTCCCCGGCGCGTCTTCTCCCGCCGTAGCCCTACCAAACTGGTACGTGTCTCTCCCTGGGTGACCTTGGTGGTCCACCACCGTCATCATCACCCATCGTCCATCCCATCCGCAGCGGGAGATGTACGAGAAGGTGTTTGAGAAGAGCGCTGACCGGCACAGCGACTTCTCCCGGCTGGCACGGGTCCTCACCGGCAACACCATCGCCCTCGTCCTGGGGGGCGGTGGAGCCAGGTGGGTGCCGCACCAGGACAGGATGGGACCCGGTTGGGTGTGGGCATCCCCGATCTCATCCATCCTCCTCTTTATCTTCTCCGTCCGGCCAGAGGTTGCTCGCACATCGGGGTGATCAAAGCGATGGAGGAGTCGGGGATCCCCATCGACATGGTGGGTGGCACCTCCATCGGCGCCTTCATCGGGGCGCTCTACGCCGAGGAGCGCAGCGCCGTCCGCACCAAGCAGCGGGCCCGCGAGTGGGCCAAGGTGGGTGCTGTGGCGCGTCCCCCACCCCAGCGAAGGCCAACGTTGACCCTCCCTGTCCTTCTGCTGGGAGGACACTGGCATCGTGCCTGCCCCTCCCCATGGCCAGCTCTGCCAGAGGGGTTTCTAAAGCACCTCCTTCCCCCTTTTCTTCTTCTTCTTCCTCCGTTTCTTCTTCCCCTTCTTCCTCCTTCTCCTTGTCTCCTCCTCTTCCTCCTCCTCCTTTTTTCCTCCTCTTTTTTCTTCCTCCTCCTCCTTCTTCCACCTCCTCTTTCACCGTCTTCTCTCCTTTGCTGCTGCTGCTTCTTTCTTCTCTTCTTTCATTTTTCCTTCTTCTTCTTCCTCCTCCTTCTTCTCTCTGTCCTCTTCTTCCTCCTTCTTCTCTCTGTCCTCTACCTCCTCCTCCTTCTTCTCTCCTTCCTCCACCTCCTCCTTCTTCTCTCCTTCCTCCACCTCCTCCTTCTTCTCTCCTTCCTCCACCTCCTCCTTCTTCCTCTCCTTCCTCCTCCTCCTCTCCTTCCTCCTCCTCCTCTCCTTCCTCCTCCTCCTCTCCTTCCTCCTCCTCCTCTCCTTCCTCCTCCTCCTCTCCTTCCTCCTCCTCCTCTCCTTCCTCCTCCTCCTCTCCTTCCTCCTCCTCCTCTCCTTCCTCCTCCTCCTCTCCTTCCTCCTCCTCCTCTCCTTCCTCCTCCTCCTCTCCTTCCTCCTCCTCCTCTCCTTCCTCCTCCTCCTCTCCTTCCTCCTCCTCCTCTCCTTCCTCCTCCTCCTCTCCTTCCTCCTCCTCCTCTCCTTCCTCCTCCTCCTCCTCCCTCTTCCTTCTCCTCTTCCTTCTTCACTCCTTCCTCCTCCTCCACCTCTTTCTTCTTCTCTCCTTCCTCCTCCTCCTCCTCCAGTGCATGAATTCAACGTTCAAGACCGTCCTGGACCTCACCTACCCCATCACCTCCATGTTTTCGGGCTCAGCCTTCAACGCCAGCATCAACAAGGTTTTCCAGGACAAGCAGATCGAGGTGCACCATGTGGACCGTGCCCAAACCTACACCCACCCACGGTGGGGGGTCCGACCAACTCCCCACCCACCCGCTAACGTCCCCACCGTGTCACCTACCCCATCTTGTCCCCGCAGGACCTGTGGCTGCCCTACTTCAACGTCACGACCGACATCACGGCCTCGGCCATGCGGGTGCACACGGACGGTAAGAGCTCCCCGGGGAGCCGGGGAAGCTCTTCAGTGCCACCGTGTCCCCTCTTTGCGGGGACCCTCCTCACCGGCACCCCAAAACAGTGCCTCTGCCCCACGGGGGAAACTTTTCCACGTGCCAAGAGGAGGAGACATCCTGGCATGGCAAGGAAAGGACTTGGAGGGTCATGGTGACCCTGGGCAGTGGTGGCTTCCCAGAGCCACTTCGTGCTGATGACCCCAGCAGGCTCGGGTCCCCATGGGGATCTGGCTGTGCCCCACGTCCTCAGTGGGGTTAGGGACAGAATTGAGGTGTGGAGCCACATCTCACCACCCTGAGCATGCATGTCCTCTCTTTAACATATCTGCTCACCACTAACCCCAGTAACCCACGCTCACGGCATGTGGAGCACGGGCATGCAGTGGTGGTGGTGGGGATGTTGACGTGTTGGTGGTGGGGACGTTGCCGTGGTGGTGGTGAAGAAGATGTGGTGGTGGAGATGACGTGGTGGCGGGGATGACGTGATGCTGGAGATGAGGTGGTGGTGGTGGGAACAACGCGGTGGTGGGAACATCGCGGTGGTGGGGACGTTGCGGTGGCTGCCCCTCCTCCTTGCCTAGTGTCCGAGCTCACCTGGGACATTGAGCCGTGCCACGGGGCACACGCGGTGGCTTGTAAGCAGCCTGGCTCTCGCTCTGCCTGCTCCTCAGGCTTCTAACGCCAACTAATCCTCGCTCACCAGCCCTAACCCTCTGGCGAGCGTCTCACCCGCCTCTCCTTCCCCATCCCGGCATGGCCGAGGTGCTTTCCCTTGGTCTTGGGGGGCTGCAAACGTCCCGCCGGCGCGGTGCCAGCATCCTGGGTCACCCCACCGCCGGGTGCTCGGGCACGTCCCGTCCCGCCTCCTCATGGCCATGACCGTGTCCTCTCCCTTTGGCAGGCAGCGAGCCAGTGCGTCTTATCCCCCTTCCCTGCCTCCGCTCTGCGACCCCAAGGACAGCCACTGGCTTGTGGACGGCTGCTATGTTAACAATGTCCCAGGTCAGCATCTCGCTCGCCGGGGACGCCAACCCCCTCCCCAAAAAAGACCCCTTCGCCTCCTCAAAGACCCACGTCCCAAACCCACGTCCCAAGTTGAGTCACCTGGCCTTTGCAAACGGCCGGTCAGGGCGCGCAACGGGTTCCTCTGCCCAACCGTAGGTGCCCGTTGGGCATCCATGGGGTGCAGACGTCCCCCGGCGCGGGCAGGGGCGACGGGCAGCCCCCGTCCGGGGTGGGTTTTGGGCGGACTGTGCTCATTGCGTTTGTTCCCGCCGGCGCAGGCTCGCTCTGGCGGTACGTGCGAGCCAGCATGACCCTTTCTGGGTGACTACCGC